AGGGTGGGGTGGGGTGGGGTGGGGGGGCGCAGGCCCTGCCACACCATTCTCTCCCTCTCCCCCAGGCCTTCACCACCCTATTGTCTGTGTCCATGGGTTATGCAAATATACATTCAAGTTCTTTGGCTGATCTGTTCCCACCCACCTTCTGCTTCTTCTTTAAGCTTTATTTTTTAAGCTATTAACAACAGATGAGTTTACAAACTGTTTCTTTTATTCCTATTGGCAATGCCTCTTTTTAATATCTGGCATCTGTCCTGTAGCTGATGGTATGATGAAATTTTGTAGTGACTGAGTCTCTCAGACTCATCTGTGGAAGGAAATAAAATGTCTTTCCATCGGTTTCTGCCTTGGATCTCAATAATAGCACTGTTCTTGAAATTCTTGAAGTATTATTTTGGTATTGGTTTTTCCCAGAGTTTCAAAGCATGATGATCTCTCTCTCCCGCTCTCTCTTTACTTAAAAAAATACATATTGGGGCTTGGGGCCTCTTTTCCTTTACTTCTACATTTGGACAAATTCACAAAGATTGGATATACCTTCTTCAGATGGTCACAATTTTCCTCTGGTCTTTATTTACACACAGGAACCAAGCTGATTAAATTTTTATTTCTTCCTTTGAAATGTATGCTACTAATGCATGAGGAGTTTTAACCAAGAAAGGATTGTAAAGCCAGTGGGGTACTGCGTGAGCAAAGAAGTCTGACAGAGAAGGTTCTTTCATTCTTGAAAACTCAAAGCTGGTTATTTGACATTTATAATTTATATCCTGCCTGCTTCCAAAAAGATTTGAAATGGCATTTAATAAAGCAGACAGGTAGGCGGGAGGGAGGGCAGGCCTTCTGCATGGCGGTGTGGGACAGGCAAATTCAGCTGCAGCAACTTATTGGCACCTTTGGCTTACAAAGGCCTACATATTGTTTCTGGCCTGAATACTTGTCCTGGTACTTTAACTTCTAGAAACCCCTTATAGTGTCCTCTAGCCTGGAAAGGCCACTCAGTAATAGGCTTACAGGATACCTATAAAAGAGCAAGTTCTCCCCTTAGCCCAAAGCTCTCAAATTTGCATTGCTGTGTGTGCTTTGTATTCTGTCCCTTTTAGTACATTATTTTATCTCTCTAGTTATAAGAGTTGTACTCCAGCAAGCCTGTTCACACAGAACCAAACTATTACAAATACTAGCAAGTGGGCTCATCCTCATGCACACTAGGGATGATAGGGCAGTGTTAGTATTTGTTGGTATGTCATGTTATTCTATCACGTGACAATATTATCACCGTGATGATAATTAATCCCCCTGGTGAGAATCAGTAATTCTACTAGTACCTGCTGCAGAAGATCATCTTTTTGAATGCTTCCCTGAGCTCTGGGCTTCGGAAGGCATATATGAAGGGGTCAATGACTGCATTGCACATGATCAACATGCCATTCACCTGGAAGAGGGACATGTAGCAGACACAGTAAGGGTTATTTGGGCAGAATGTCATTAAGAGGACATGAAGAACAAAGGGGGCCCAACAAAAGATGAAGACCCCAAGCAGGATGGTCAGTGTGATGGCCCCTTTCATGTTGGCTCTGGAAAGTGTTGAGATCTTCCTGGCATGGGAACGGGCCAGCAAGAACATGTGCACATAGAGGCAGAGGATAAAGACCAGCATCAGAGGGAACAATGATGTAAAGGTGATCACTGTGGGGATGCGATGGGAGAAGATCACCATGGTGATGCCACTGCATGTGCAGCATGTCCAGATGACCGCCAGGACAGCAACGGCGCGGCGCATGGTCACAATGCTGTGGTACTGCAGAGCATGGAAGATGGTGATGTAGCGGTCCGCGGCGATCACAGACAGGCTGAAAATGGAGCCCAGGAGGGAGAGGATGAACAGGGAGTCGATGATGTCATCGGCCGTGGTTTCAAAATTGCCACGAGGCTTGAGATAACCCTTGTTTCTGAGCATGATCAGGATATTTTCCAAGATCTTATACAAGCTGCCCAACATATCGGAAATGGCCAGGCTGCAAATGAAAAAGTACATGGGTGCCTGGAGGTTCTTATTCTTGATCACAGCCAGCAGGACGATCAGATTCTCCAGCACCCCGGCGATGGATATTGTAAAAAATATCTCTTCCGGCAAAACCACATGAGGACAGTCCGAATTATTTCTTGCTGTATCATTGATGTTCTCATAAAGGTTGATTATGTGCTTCATTTCTCCTGCTTGTGGTTAAGACAATGATGTTACTTGGACTTGACAGAAGGCTGGACTGATTTTTCAGAATCTTTTTTTTGGGGGGAGGGTGGGTAGTACTTGTGGGAGATCTGAGGTAAAAACTACACGGTCACCTAGGAAAGAATATATAAAAATATCAGTTGCAAAATAAACTGCAAAATAAAAACAAGCCATGTTAACTTGAAGGAAGCTCTATTGCCTCAATGAAATATAATGGTGTAATACTTTAAATAACACAGTTTCCTGGGCCTTCATCCTCAGCACTCAGTGACAAATCTTTACTGGAATTTTGAGCCCAGAAATAAAAATAAAGATTATCCTTTGTCCTCTCCTCTTTCCCTTCCCCATTCTTCTTGTGAACCCAATTTGATGTGAGATAAATGAGAATGAGAAAAGAAGTAAGGAAATGAAAGGCATGTGTAGAAACAGAAAAGTACACAACTACCTTTCTTTGACTTGGAGGAGTGGCTGGATTCAGGGGACTGATGAGATGTTCGGGTCCTTTCTTTTTCACTGCCTGACCTTAGAGCATTTAGAATAATGGCAAACGTATTGATGTACATTTCCAAAGTTGACTATGCAATGCAATACACGTTATGATTTTTGTTTCAAAGGCTGAACTCGCAGGAATGGTATTTCTGGAGATTTCCAACGTTTTCAAGTTTTTTCTAGGTTGAAGTTGAATTATGGCAGTAAAAGGATCCAGTTTTCCTCAAGCAGAAAAGGCTGACTAGATCATAGTTGAGTGACTTTGAGAAGTCTGCTTCAGGTGAAAGCATGCGAAATTTTTACTGATTCAGTTTCCAGGTGGCTAGACACAGATTTTTTTTTTTAAATTTCAGAGAGGAAGGGAGAGGGAGAGAGAGAGAAGCATCAGTGATGAGAGAGAATCATTGATTGGCTGCCTCCTGCACATTTCCCTACTGGGAAGTGAGCCTGCAACCTGGGCATGTGCCCTTGACTGGAATCGAACCCAGGACCCTTCAGTCCCCAGGCCGATACTCTATCCACTAAGCCAAACCAGCTAGGGCGACACAGATGATTTTATGAAATGTTTCAAATTTTCCTTTGCCATTGTGGTGGTTTTAAGGATATGACCACAAGTTCTTTATAGTCCTCCCCACAAGAAATGGAGCTTAATCCCCCTCCATTCAGGCTTGCTGGAAGCCAGCTGCCATGTTGTAAAGAAGCTGTTGGGAGAGTGAATCAAGTATAGCTTTTGATCCAAAGTCCACAGGGCACATATCACTGTCTTACACTAAAGTTTTTCCTGAAAAGGAACTAATTTCCTTACAAAGGACTGGGGTCAAGTATTAAGGCAGAAATGTTTGAGTTCAGTAGGTAGATGATTAGGAAAGGAGTGGAGTGACAGGTGGTAACTGCTGGTAGGGTTCTACCTAGGTTGACCACTTTATCCTGTGTTCCCGGGACTGGGAGTCCTGCATCCTGGGCCCTCTCTCAGTCCCAGGCAACCTGCCGTGGTTACTTACTCTAGCTCTACCTACTTGGGCCCTGGGAAGCCTATACGCTAAAGCATCTATTCATGTTCAACATGCTGAGGAGAATGAGGCCTTTGATGGTTAACTTTATGTGTCAATTTGGGCCTCACGGTGCCTGATATTTGGTCAAACATTATTTTGGGTGTTTATGGATGAGATTAACATTTGAATCCGTAGTCTGAGTAAAGCAGATTGCTCTCCCCAGTGTAGGCAGGCCTCATCCAATGTGTTGAACAAGAAGGCTCCATGAAAAAGGAGACATATGTAAAACTACATATAATACTTTAATTAAACAATAAAAAAAAAAAAGGCTCCATGAGTACGGAAGAACTCCTGTCTGATTGCTGAGCAGGGGCATTAGTTTTTTCCTGCCTCTAGGATTCAAATGGAAATCTCAGCTCTTTTTTGGGGTCTGCTGGCTTCCTGACAGGGACCCCCATTGGCTCTCCTGAGTCTCCAGCTTGCAGACTGCAAATCTTGGGACTTCTCAGCCTCCATAATCTCGTGAGCCAACTCCTTATAATAGAGGCTGTTTCCCAAGGCCTGTGCCCAGCATGAACCACCTATGGAGACTGTCTGGACAGAGTCTCTCGTCTTATACTTGAGCCCATTAAATGTGGTCAGATTTGGTGTATATTTTCAGTCTTGAGTGCATTTGATGGTAGAATTGATAAAGAAAAAGGAAATGCTGGCAGAGCTTCGGGCACTTCTTAGGAAGAGGTGGTTCTGAAACCCAGCTCTGCTGATGTGCATTGCTGAGCTGCTGTTGCCAATCCTGCCAATCCATGGGAGAGTCCTAAATTTGACTAGACAATGGTTACGTGTGTTGGAAATGAAAACGATAAGAAATACCATACTGCCCACAAAAATCTAGCTGAGGAGCCCTGGCCAGGTGGCTCAGCTGGTTGGAGCATTGTTCTGTGCACCAAAAGGTTGTGGGTTCAATTCCCTATGAGGGTACATCTCTAGGTTTTGGGTTCAATCCCCAGTTGAGGGCGTGTCCAGGAGGCAGCTGATCGATATTTCTCTCTCACCTCTCTCTCTCTCTCTCTCTCTCACCCCCCCTCACTTCCCCTTTCCCTTTCTCTTCCCCTCTCTCTAAAAAATAAAACATATCCTCGGATGAGAATAAAAAAATCTAGCTGAGGAGATAAAACATGCACGTCTGAGAAAGAGAACAGACAAGGTTATGGTGACTTGCTGATGAGTCATGGCTGCTACATGGTGTACGTGATGTGGAAGAGGATTGGCTTGCCTACAAGCACTGTAGGTAATTCACTGTCCACTGTGCAGGGCCCCAAATGTATGCTTAGCAATTTAAATTAACACTCTCACAGATAAAAAAAACCCAACTCCCCAATACATCATTACGTTCTTAAAACTCTTCATTTTAAAGGCAGTTGGGTATCACTGTGGCTTCTCTCATAGTGCTCTCTATGTCAAAGGTCAGAGAAGGGGCACAGTGAAAGGTGTTCTCTTTTAATGCTCTAATTAAATGTAAGGGGTACTATTCCTATTCCTATTCCTCGCTATCCCCCTGATTTCCTAGATAAGAAAACGGAGGCTCAGAGGGGTTAAGTAACAAGGTTCTCCAGCTGCTAGGTCTGCCTTGCTCCAAGGCCCATGTTCTCTCCCGGGTTCCCTGTTAGGCAGAATTCCTTCTTTGAATTCTGTCTAGCATCCGTTATAAGGGGCCTTGAAGTGACCCTGAATTTCAGGGATGAGGCAGCCCCATTCTTTTCCTTCTTGTCCCGGTGGTATGATTGACAAGTAGTGTCCCTTCCCCACTTTCTTCATCACCTTTTCACGGTCAGCACACACATGCCTTTCTCTGTGCAGATGTTCCTCAACTGCCTCCCTCGCCCACAGGAGCATGAGGGAGCTTCCCACCGTGCTCCGCTACACTATGTGTCTGTATTTCTCTGATGGCATTGCTCACATTAAACACGTGGTCTTCCCTGGTAGGTGGATTCTGAGTTTTAGGATGAGCATTGTCCTCACCACCTCAGTATGCTCAGTGACTTGCAGAGAAGCTGGGCATGGCAATATGTGTACAGTCAACGGCAGATGAATGCTGCTTACACCAAACAAAAAGATCCTAGTAAAAGTTAGTTAGCCGCTGAGTTTTTAGATGAGACGCGTACCTAGAAAAATTAACAAGGTTAATAATAAAATGGCTTAAACATTTCTTACACTGATCTGCCTGAAGTTGCTCCAGAGCAGTGAGAGCTCCATTGCTGTGGGAGCAGAACTCTTCCTCTGCCACGAGAGATGCAGGAAGCACTGAAAGTGAAGACTGCTCTTCAGCTGTCTGCTCCACCCGCTGTTGCTCGCAGAGGCTCAAGGCAGGCAGGCACTCTGGCCAGGCTTGCAGCAAGGCCTGGCACCAAGGCCCAGTGGATATTTTTTATAAATACACTAGAGGCCCGGTGCACAAGATTCATGCACTGGGGTGGGGGTTCCCTCAGCCCAACCTGCATCCTCTCACAGTCCAGGATCTCTCGGGCGATATCCACCTGCACCTCTGACAGTCTGGGGCTCTCACAGTCCGGGACCCCTTGCTCCTTACTGCCCACCTGCAGCAGAGGTGGGAGAGGCTCCCGCCACCACTGCTGCACTTGCCAACCGTGAGCCCAGCTTCTGGCTGAGTGGCGCTCTCCCTGTGGGGGCACACTGACCACCAGGGGGAAGCTCCTGCATTGAGCATCTGCCCCCTGGTGCCAGTGCACGTCATAGTGTCCGATTGTTCTGCCGTTCAGTCGATTTGCATATTAGGCTTTTATTCTATAGGATGAATGAGGGAGCACAGCTTGTCAGCATCCCTCCTGCACTTCTGCGTAGGGTGCACTGAAGGGAGCTCTCCTCTTCCTAGTTTTTCTCAACGCCTTACTCTCAGTATCCCCCTCTATCCCTTGCCCATTTCTATCCCTTTAGGGTTTTGCATATGTGTATATATGTGTGTACATGTATATGCATGTGTGTGCATGTGTACATGCATGTGTTTGGGAAGAAGATGGGCGGTAGAATTATCTCAAGGCAGCCTAGGGAAATACAAATATAGCAAATAGCTGTTTTCCTAGAAAGAGTGGGGCTTCTGTTCTAAAGAGTGCATGCCCCCATGACAGAGCCAACCAAGGAGAGTCAGTGTCTCAAGTCTGCAGTGGCTGCGTGGCTTTCTAAGCGATGACCACTTTGGAGGAGTTTGTGATAAGGGATGTTTCTTATGCTTATTTATACTACACCCTGTGTTGCTTCCAAGGAAGTCAGAGGACTACAGGGCTAACGGACGAGAAAGGCAGAGAGAGAGTGTGTGTTGCCCCAGAACCACAAATAATCCATGTGCGTATGTTAATGGCAGAGTTGCAGGAAGCCAACTGCATACCAGGTTTCCTAATTGCCAGGGCAGCAAAACTATGGCGCTTGTAAAAACAAACGGTATTCAGGTAAAAGGGTGATTCTCATGAAAGGGTAAAAGAAGTATGATTTTTTTCACCCCTATTTCCATTAAGAAAAGCCCGACCATAGCCCTTGTACAGAGCCTGATGATAATTTCGAGACTAAGAACATAGAGAAGTTAATAAATTCATCAACAGGGAAGGCTGCTTTAGTTAGACCAGCAAGTAATAGATTTTATTGTTACAGTTCAATTAGAAAAATGATATCCTCCCTCCGGAGGGATGAAAGACCACAATTAAAAGGATAAGCTCTTAGGTGGAATTCTGAACACAACCTATTTAGGACAGGTCTAACTGTCCTATGTATCATCCCAAAACGTAAGAACCTGAGAAATTAGTAGAAAATGCACTTACCCTCCGCTCTGCAGTAGGAACTTTCTGGCCTGGATCGCTGAGAATGAATGAGGTTTGAAAGAAAAGCCAGCGAATGGACCTTGGGCCAGGAAGCACCGGAACACATGCATCACTGGGAGAGGCATTCGTTTGTTATCCTAACCTTGGAAGACGTCATGTGAAAGGGACTGCATGTTGCTGCTAATGTGGAGTCGAAGACACAGATTAAGACACCATTTCCCCGGGTCAGCTAAACAAAGCTGCTTCCAAAGTTTATGACAAGGTTCATGGCAGATTACAACGTATGACCTTGCTCCTCTTTTAACATCGTTTTCGAGTTGCATTGGATTTCAAACTGAGAAATTCAATCAACGGGTTTTGAGGAAATGGATTAGGAAGCATTTGTTTTTACATTTCCAGCAAACTTTTTAAGACATTTTACAAACAGTGGATTCATTAATCTCACTAAGAAGAAGGGAATAACCCTATTATCCATATTTCACAAGACTGAGCAGCGAGACAGAGGGAATTGTAGGCTCAAAGGGCAGCTGATGGAGCATGGGCCAAGGCTAGAAGAAAGCCCTTGTGTTCTGCCAATTCTTCTGTCATAACATTTCACAGAAACCACCACCGACACCTCCATCATTCACAGCAAAATTGTTTCGTTGTAGGGTACGTTCTTGCTGGTTTTCTGTTTGCCAGGCCTGCAGGGGAGGGCTGATATGTATGTGTGTACATGTAAATGCATGTGTTTGTATTTGGGCATGTGTGTACATGCATGTGTTGGTGAGGAGAATGGCTGGTAGGGTTATCTCAAGGCAGCCTAGGGAAATAAAAGTGTGAGGAACAGCTGTTGGTATCCAAGCACATCAACCTGAATGTGTAACTATGGCACGGGGCCAAGTTTGGGGGTGAACTGGAGCTTTGGGGCGGATTCCAAACCAGTAACCATTTCTGAAAATATCAGCTCCAGCCCCGAGCTGAAAGATGTCCCCATGTGGGTGGTCTGGAAGGACCGAGAACAGAGGTCTGAGTGTGATTCCCCAGGCGGGGAAACACATTCTTACCAAGTGCCTTTCCTCCGGCCTGTCCCTGAGGCAGGGCATGTTCTGCTGGGCGCTGCTGGACTCAGGGTCATTCCAGGCTTAGGACCGCTGGGGAGTAGCTGTGTGCCTGGCAACACGCCCTGGAGCTCAGTTGAGCCACACCGTTGAGACGGTCTATAAAAGCTGGGCGGTGCCTCCAGAAAGCCACGGTTGTGGTATCTGAAAGAGACACCGTGTCCTCAGCCCTCAGATTTGCAGTGCCACATAAACTTTGTCAAAGATTTGTGGATCTAATGAGCTGGTTGGGAAAACTGGTGGCCGGCCCCAGAGGCCGGCCCCAGGCAGGTTGCCAGTCGGAGCGGGTGTTGGAGCTTGGGGAGCTCTTTGGAGAAGGCAAGTCTCAGCAGATTCTATCTGTGTGGAGACCCAGGCAGCTGAATCTAGGAGAGATTTTGAGGGGGGACAAGATGGCCTAAGGGTTTGGCTAAGCCCTGGTAAAGAGTAAATTTTGCTATTTTAGTTTATTTTTTCCTCGAGATGGAGGGTGCTCATCTTCCTCCAATTGTTCAAGGACAGAGTGGAAAGGACATTCGATTTAAAGCCAGAAGACCTGGTAGAGTCCCCACTCCACCAGGTCTCTGGGTCTGTCATTTCCTCATGTAAAGTGGGTTGTTGGGAAGATTAAATGAGACCAGTTTTGTGAAAGTGCTTTGAGAATGTAAAATCATACACCAGTGCCTGTGGGACTTATACTCTGGCCCAAAGTGTTATTGAAATGGTGGTCAGTTTTAAGAGATAACTTAGCCAGAGGGAAGTTCATTTAGCTTGTGAACATTTAAAAGCAAACTAGTGAGCTGAGATGCTGCTAGACCTGTAACAATAGGTGCTGCAGGTGCGCCACTCGCTCCATCCCATCCTGTCTCTTTTCCTTCCCGAGAGAGGATGAAAAAAGGGGATTCTAGAGAGCATTCAAGGAGCTCCCAGGGGCACCTTTTTTTCTCATACAATCCAGCAGCTCAACCCTTTTTCTTCTGCTCTTCACAACTCCACCATCCTACTAAGTCTTATGCTTCCAAATGGGAAAGCAAGAAAGAGAGGGAGAGAGGGAGGGGGAGAGAGGTGGAACAGGGACAAGAAGAGAAGGGGGGCAGGGATCTGTCATTCAGATATGCAGGGCCATGCCCTTTGGACAGCACATCAGATGCTGGGGGTTGGAAAGTAATTCTGTAAAGAGAAACACACTCCTCCTGGGTTTCTCTTTTGCTCACACACTCACAATACTTCTGGTACCAGAAGTGTGGGTGTTTTCCACAGATCAGGCAATTATCTGACACCACCTGCACGTCCCACAATTTAATTCAATTCTGACACAAGATCCCCGAGATAGCATCAGATCCCACAGATTAGGGGCTCTGTCCCACAAGACTGCCCCCACTTCAGATACCAATTGCCAGTCCCTGAGTGCCACCCGTGCTTCTGAATAACCTGCTTTAAGTCTAGGTTTCTGGAACCCCCTCCTTCAGTTGTATAATTTGCTAGAGAAGCTCACAGAACTCAAGAGAAGCACTTACGTTTACTGATTTATTATAAAGGATATAGATGAACAGCCCTACTTCTCCAACTTTCCCTGCAATTTATAGGATCTTATTCCTATCATACATTACTTATTTCAGAATGCTCATAATGACTTTGCATCTCCGACTGAACACTGATTAAAGAAGCATTTGGTAGCTAAAAAAAGGAATGCTCCAGTAACAGCAACTTAGAAAATGTGACTTTGGGTCTGAGAGGCCTGGGCGTTTCCAAAGAGACAATTAGTGACGGCTGGAAGGACAGGGGGGACATTTTTATAAGACTGGGGGAAGGGGAGCCGTGTGATGTAGTGGTGGAACCTCTGGTGAAATTGTGGGTTTCCGCAACATGGAAGTTAGCATGGATACCTAACAAACTCAAGGGTTTAACTAAGGAGATTTCAAAGCAGAGTTTTAAAAGGGTATGGCTTAAGCTGAAGGCAGGGGGTGAGGGCGGGGGGCTGGAGAGGGTCAATGGGGGGAAACAGGGAACATATGTAATACTTTCAACAGTAAATAATTATTTTTTAAAAAGAATGAAGTAAATCTTCATATACCAACTTCAAAATAAATAAATACATAAATAAAAAATAAATAAATAAATAAATAAATAAATAAATAAATAAAAGGGTATGGCTTGCATTCTTGTGAACTAGACAACTGGGCATCTAAGAATCTCAAGGTTGTTCTCCCATAGCAGTCTCCCATGGAGCTCAAGGTAGCAAAACACCTATCTCAGAAAAAAAAAAAAGTAGTATGGCTTTTGTCTAATGGAGTATGATTGTGACTTTTATCTAATTGTATACATAAGAAACTAACAAAGGTTTTAAAGGAGTTAGAACGTCTTGTACTTAAAGGGACAAAGACAGTTTATAATAAAAAGAGGATCCTGGGCCCTCTAGCTCTTATGGGCAGGAGGCAGGTAGAGAAATTTCTCAGCTACAAATACAGGACATTTTTTATGGGAAGCAAAGGATGGTTCAGGGGATGAAGCCAAGGATCACAGAGAACCATTCCCAGGCAGTAGGACTGGGCCCTAATCAAGAAACTGGTGACTTGAGTCCAGAGCAATTGAGCTCACAACCCCCCTCCCGGCCCCCTCCCTTTGGAATGGGAGTGACAATGGCAGTGACCCTCTGCCTGTCCCGTGTTGAGTATAGAAAATTAATCATTCATCTCCTCAGTTCATAGGTCCTCAAGAAGTTGTACCCAAGGAACCACAATGAAGGAACTTATCTTGTGATTTGGATCACAGATCCTGGAGTTTGAGTTGATTCTTTCCTGAGAGCAAGACTTTTGGGGTCTCAGGAGAGATTCGTATATTTTTTATGTGGGAAGGATGTGGGTTGTTGTGCTGGAGGGTAGACTGTAGGAGCTAGTGTCCAAAAATAACCTTAAAAAGTCCATTTCTCCCCGTTTACACATAATGCTCTGGCATCCGGAGCGTGTCTCTCCCCTTGATTCTGGGAAGGGCCTATGACTGCTTTGATCAATAAAAATACGGAAGAAACGAGTTCCAGAACTTTTGAATTAATATCTAAAGAATACCTGCAGCTTCAGCTTCTTCCCTTTTGAAAAAGCCATTATGCTGGAAGGAAGCCACTAAATTTTGGTGTAATTAGTTATTCAGCAATAGATAATCTATACTACAATCATTTTCTTTTCTAAGAGTTTCACTTATTGCTAGATATTTTCAAAGATGAATATGAGCCCTGGTGAGTTAGAGCTTTGGCCCATGCACTAAAGGGTCATGTTTTCAATTCCTGATCAAGGCAATTCCTGGTCAAGGGCATGTACCTGGGTTGCAGGTACTCCTCCCACCCTCCTCCACTGTCTCTAAAAATCAATGGAAAAATATTCTCAGGTGAAGATTAACAACAACAAAAAGAATTTGCAATGGAAAGTGCTGATGACTAAGAAGGAACTGCAACAACAACTAGAGCATGAAGGCAGGTAGAGGGGCATTTGAGTATATTTTTGAAACAGAATCCTATATAATAAAAGGGTAATATGCAAATTGACCCTAATGGCGGAACGACTAGGAACAACTGGTCGCTATGATGTGCACTGACCACCAGGGGGCAGACGCTCAATGAAGGAGCTGCCCCCTGGTGCTCACTGCTCTCCCACAGCGGGAGCTCTGCTAAGCCACAAGCCAGGCTGATGGCTGCAAGTGCAGCGGTGGTGGAGGAGCCTCTCCCGCCTCCTCCTCAGCACTAAGGATGTCCTACTGTGGCTTAGGGCCGTTCCCCGCAGAGAGCGGGCTTAAGCTGTCAGTCAGACATCCCCTGAGGTCTCCCAGGCTGCCAGAAGGATGTCTGACTTCCAGCTTAGGCCCAATCCCTCAGGGAGCAGGCCTAAGCTGGCAGGTGGACATCCCCCGAGGGTTTCCGGACTGCAAGAGGGTGCAGGCTGGGCTGAGGGACTCCCCCAGAGTGTATGAATTTTTGTGCACCAGGCCTCTAAGAGCTCCATATTTTGAAGCTCTTAAATGTTGAATATAAAATCATAAGTCTGACATTGATCAATTTGAGAC